AAGCGGGCTCCGTGCTGACAGGCTGACCGCAGCACGCCCGAAGTGGGATCACAACCTGAGCTGAAGTCAGATGCTCAACCGACTGAGCCACCCAGGCGCCCCTCAAAACTCTTTAAGAAAAAGAAATAAACCTCTAAAAACTTGGAAAAGGAATTGTCTGACAAAATCTTTTTAAGTGAAGAGTATTTGTGGGTTTTGAATCCATTTGTCAGGTTTATAAAAATGTGATGACACCCAGTGACTAGTTTGCAGGGACAATTGATTGAGAACTACCATCTGAAATTCACCAAAAAACAAACAAACAAACAACCCTTTGTAGAATTGGTGGGTAGATTGAACACTAAGTATCAAGATTTAGGGAGCCTAGCTGTGAGCGTGTGTGAATGTTGTTTTCTCCAGCATATCCCTGTCACTCCAGACAGCCCTTAAAACAAAATGTTAGAATACACGAAGAAGCTTGGAGAGTCCTTCAAAGTTCTCTATCACAACAGAATTAACCAAAGTCTTCAAAACTACAGCAGATTTAATATCTTGCTTTCATTACAAATCTTGATAATTCATTTTGTGTACCATAACTGACTAAATAATAGGCTTTTATATCCTCTTTTCCCCATCTTTTTGTTCTACAAGGTGCATAAGGTATTGGTGCAGTAGTGTTGCAGGATTTTTTTACCTCAATTCCTGGGATTCATTGTCTCGCCTCTTGGAAACATGAAGAGGTGGACACAAAATGAACAGTAGGCAGTTTACTAGAGTATAAGATCTGAAAGCAAGAATAGTATGAAAACCCTCTTTACAGAGAGGGGGGCATTGGAAAGCGAGTGCCTGTGACTATAGAGGAAGCTCCTTGTTTTATAAGGTTCTGGTCATTCCCACCCCCCCACCGCCCCCCAACCCTCACCCCACCCCCACCCCCTTCGCTCGCTCCCTAGTTCCTTCTCCGGTCCTACCCTTATTGGGTATTGGGTTGATAGCTCTAGGTGCTGGGTGGTCCATTTCTGATTGGCTCCTTTCCATTGTATGAGGTGTGGTCTGGTCCTTGTGGGTCACATGTTTTCTGGTCCAGGACTTATTTTTAGTCAGGTCTTTTGTCAAATTCCTGAGGGAAACCTGAGGGGAAGTAGGTGGTGTCTGTTACATTTCTAAGAAGAACTTTACCCCTGAGGGGATGGCTGGGGTCTACACTCCCAGCATTGTTCCCAAATCTGTGTTTTCCCCTTCCCCTGGGATCTCAGGTCCTAATCTTTCCTTCTCTGCCTATTTTATTCTGTCCTTTCCTATCCTAGTACTATATAAAACTTTTAAAGACATATACATATATTGATGGGACTTACCCAAAGGTTTTACTCTTAGCGTTTGTACTAAAAAATTTACAAGTTTATTGCTGAAAACGGAGTCAAAGTGGGGCTCCCCACAGCAATCTGAGAAATGGATTTCCTTATAAACTTTAAAACTACCTCTTCTCCATGATGTGCTTCTGTAATTCATTCATGGGAAACAAAATTGCTCCAGGAGCTCAGAGTCTGAAAAGCAAAAAATACAAAGTGTGTGTGTATTGCTTCTCTGGAAATGTGTACGTTAAACTTCCTTTTAGGTAATCCACTTTAAATGCTATAAAAAAAAAAGGGGGGGGGGGAGGAAGAAGAAAAAAAAACTTCCTGGAATGTTGGACCCAGTGCTATGCTCCAGGACAGGTAAATGCATTAAGTCATTTCAGCATAGGCTTTGTAGTTCTCTGACTCAAGCCAGTTTGGTTCTTTTTGGTAAGCAGATTGGTGAGGGCTACATTCTCCTCTACAGGTAAAGGTGAGGGTTCAAAAGCAAGTCTTGAGTCAACTCAGCCCTCTTGACTTCATCTCCCACGTAAGGTGCACTCGGGGTAGCAGCAGGATTCAGCTGATTGTGGAGTAGCAATCAAGTACTGCTTAATTTTCTGGAATCCATGGCAATGGGACCCAGGAATGCGCCTTAGGCACTCTCCTGGGCTAATAGACTTGCTGGCCTTGATTGTCCTTTTGATATCTGGGCAAGACACCAGTAGGATGCCTCTATTCCATCCACTGAGTTGCAACACCTTGATCTCATCTCTGCTTACTCTTTTGTCAATCTAATTCAAGTCATTAAATTCATCTAGGAAGCTTCATTTCTAACACCATTGCTAATAAACAAAACGCTTGGTTTACAATGAAAATTCCGTAAGTAGTAGCTGCTAGTGGAGTGTGGCCATCCCAGGAATGAGTCCTCAGTAACCTCCCCAGCCCCAGGGGGGACCCTCAGAGCTGTTGTTTGTAGCCAGTCAGGCTAGCAATTCTTGCAAGTTCCTTTCAGCGCTATAATGGAGGCATTGTTCCCAAAATAGTTTTTAGCTATATTGACCCAACCTATAATTTCCCCCAGAAGGCTCAGCAAATAACCTTTGTGTGAATTCCTTGAGATCAGGGAGATGCATTTTTTTATGATTGTATTCCCCCTCCCCCCCCCCCAGAACCAGAGGATTTGGTTTTGCATAATAGCTGCTTGGTATGGAATTCAGTCGAGTGCATTTGGGTTAGTAAACTTGCAATACAGTTTCCGATTTTGGAGGTCTAAAAGAAGTTACCTCTAAGAGTAAACTAAAGATTTGAATGTTGTCCAGAGAAGAGAAAATATAAATAATAATAATGAACAAATTGTTAACGTTTATTAAGGGCCCATCTGTCAAATGTATTATGAGCTTTTGACAGGTGGGCTCACTTTTTCTTTATGAAAACTCTAAGGTACACACGATTCTAATGAAATCAAATGGCTTAAAATTACTATTGTTCTTTTTTTAATGTTTATTTTTAAGAGAGATGGAGAGCGGAGGAGGGACAGAAATAGAGGGGGGCAGAAGATCTGAAGCAGGCTCTATGCTGACGGCAGTGAGCCCGATGTGGGGCTTGAGCCTCGAACTCCCGAACAGTGAGATCATGGCCTGAGCCAAAGTCAGCCACCTAACCGACCGAGCCACCCAGGTGCCTCTATTATTGTTGTTCTTATTTATTATTATTTTTACCAGAGAAGAAGCCAAAGCTTGGAGAAGTTAAGAGCTTACGGAAGTCTGAGTTAGTGGGTGATGATACCCAGTTTTTGAGTTGAGCAGTCTGGCTTCAGAGCTGAAATAAGTGCTACTTAAATTCTTCTTCCTTTCCCACGTAAACACACTCAAGAGCAAATTCTGAGCCCCTGGTGATCAAAGAGGTGCAAAATGAAACTCAGTGATGTAGCAATTTACAGTTGTGATATCGACAAAAAGAATTATACAGTGGATGAATATGTGGTACAGAGTTAAGATAATTATTTCATAAGTGTAGAGAAAATGGTGCTCAGATATTACTAGTGGCAGTGTAGTGAGTAGAGTCCATTTGGGAGGCAATCAAGAGCCGTAGAGGGGCGCCTGGGGGACTCAGTAGGTTAAGCGTCCGACTTCGGCTCAGGTCACGATCTCACGGTTCGTGGGTTTGAGCTCCACATCGTGCTCTGTGCTGACAGCTAGCTCAGAGCCTGGAGCCTGTTTCAGATTCTGTGTCTCTCTCTCTCTCTCTCTCTCAGAGGAAAAAAAAAAAAGAGCCATAGAAACTTGGCAAGTTTTGCTCCAAGAATCCCCTGTTCCTAGAGACCCTTTATAAAGCCAAGAGAAAACATGTACATTTTCAAAAGGGTTCACAGTTCACGTTTATAGCAATGTAATTAGGAAATACCCTTAGTATCCAACCACGAGACACATACTAACAAAAAGACTCTCATGTCCATTAACCACAACAACAACAAAAACAATGAAAAAGAAAAAAACAGAATAGGAAATTGAACCCCAGATGCCATTACATCTACTCACAGATATACTTCAGGATGGTCCCTGGACAGGCATCAGAAGGGAACCTGAAAATGATGTGTGACCAGACTGGAATTATAAGTGGCTTTTTGTTTGTTTGGAAATGACCTTTCCTATAATGCTCTGTGAGCATATTTAACTGGAGCTTCCGTTGGAGGATGCGGGGCCATTTTATCTCAGTGTACCATTTTGAGTGACCATTAAAAACTGAAACCTATTAAAAGTGCTTGGAAAGATACCCCTTCCCCCACACGAAAAGAGGACCACTGAATCTTTTTGGATGTGTGCTTCTCACATTTGTCCAGTGAACATTGACCGTATATTTGGAGCTTTGTTTTCTAATGGGTTTATTCTGTAAAGACTGGAGTGCAGCTTATCTGTGGATGCTGTTTCATCTCAAAACCCTTTTGTTGATGTCACTATATAGAGAGTTCCTTCATTCTTGGCTTTGGCAGGACCTTTGAATTCAAGAAAGATACCTAAATGTAATCTGGGCACAATGAAAATGTTGGATAAAGTTTGCCACTCAAGTTCATGCACCTGCCTCAACGGGACGGTTAGATCTTGGATCACACTGGGTATCTGAGGTTAAAGGGGTTGCTGTCCTGTACCTTAGGGCTGACGCCTTTAGGAGGATAGTTTGTCATATTGACACCCACAGGAACATTTGGAAGGTTCTGGGCCTTCTTGGACAGTTAGGAGGTAGGGCAAGGAATGGTTAGAAGCAGTTAATACCTGGATCTGCTGTTGTTTTTGGCCAGAAAGTGAGGCTGCTCTGTTCCCTCTGCCCTCTGGGGAGCCAGCCCTGCTGGTAAACTGGAGCAAATGACCTTCTTCAAAGGAGCTAAAGCCTCAGTTTTTCCTTGACTGTTGAAGTGAGAGGGAAAGTAGCTAGTTCCGGGTTTGCGTAACTCTTCACGCGAACAGTCTCCTTGATCTCACAACAGCTTCCACGGTAAAAGCACCATCTGTTTTAATCCCTGTCTTTAAGGAAACGAAAAGAAAAGAGAAACGAGAAGAAACCACCATAGCAGCGAACACATGGTGCATCAAGTGCCTATCAATTTCAGGAGCTGTTAATAACGTAAGAAAGAAAGTCAGTCCTCAGACCTTGTCCCTGTACAGACTGATTGGTCCTTTGTCTTTGCAGTGGGACTTCCCGGTCATCCTCTGCTCCCGACGCTCAGCCTCCCCAGCCGCTGTCCACCACCCCCCTGCTGAGGGGCTGCAGAGTGCTGGATCACTCAGGATCTGCTGGATCACTCAGGAACTGACCGAACCCAACTGCCCTGGTGCCCGGTGCAGAAAGGTAAGGCCAGTCTCAAAGACAGGAAAAGCACCGTGCGGTACGAGGCCAGTTCTTTGGGGTTTCTTTATAGGGACCCCTCTGTCGGACCAGACACAGGGGGCTTCAAATGCATGGTCTGCTCCCCAACACTGTAAATGGGAGCATTTAGATACCGTACCCTAGTTTCTTTATCTGGAAAAGACTGTGAGCTTGAAGGTACATTTAACCAAAGCATCCAAGACGTTGCCGTACTTTTCATTGAGGGAAAGGAATTTTCTTTTCTTTTCTTTTTCCCTTCCTTCATCCTTCTCTCTCCTTTCTTTCTCTTTCTCCCTTTGTGCCTTCCTCCCTCCTCGCCCTCTTCTCTCTCTTTCTTTCTTCCCAGGGAACAGTGTGAATAGAGGGGGTAGGCTAGGAGTCTGAGACCAGTAGCTCGCTGAGGACGTGCGTGGACCAGTTTCAGAGACCAGGTTATGTGGAATTTAGTGCTAAAGAGGGAGATGATGGTGAAGACACCCGTTCTCCTGTTGTGGAACAATCGCCACACACCAGACTCTGTGCGAGGTGCTTTGTAGGGTTTTATAATCACCACCAACCCCATGAGGAAGGCATTATGACCTCCATTTTTCAGTTGAGGAAGCTAAAGCTGGGAGATATTAGGCAGCTTGCTGAAATCATGCGTTAGGGCATGACATCGTTGCGGGGCGCCTGGGTGGCTTGGTCGGTTGAGCGACCGACTTCTGCTCAGGTCATGATCTCATGGTTTGTGTGTTTGACCCCCACATTGGGCTCTGTGCTGACAGCCCCGAGCTCTCTTAGGATCCTCTGTCCCCCTCTCTCTCTGCCCCTCCCCTGCTCACACTCTCTCTCTCAAAAATAAACATACGTTAAAAAAAGAAAAAGGACATGACATAGTTGGGATTTACAGTCCCTCCTGTTTGACTTCACACTGCTGTTTTTCTCTGTGGCTTCCGTGAGTCAGTGACGTTCGATTTCAAAGAAGGAGCGGTCAGCTGTGATTCAGAAATGGGACTGCATGCTAGAGGTTGAGCTGGACTTTAATGTGTTAGAAAGAGTGCGTCTCATTTTTGCCACTGATTAACTTTATGGGGTTTTTTTGTATGATAGAGAATATCTACGGTTGACGATTGTGATTAGCAGGCCAAAAGTCCAGACACATGTTATGACCTGGAATTTTAGGCCTTCCTTTAAAAACAAAAAGGAATCTAGTATTCTGGAATTAGAATTTCTACTCCTAGGAGGAATTTAAAGCCCGGAATATTTGAAATCAGGATTGTTCAGAAAACCCTTGACCTACGGGCTTTGTGACGAGCAGGTGGGAAGAAACCAGGGCCAGTGTGAAGATGTCTGCATGTGGCCCAGCCAACCACGTGACCTCTATGCCCCAGTTTTCTCATCTTCAAAATTAAGAGCGGACAAAATGAACTCGAAAGCACCTTTCAAATCTAAAGTTTCGCTTCTGTAACACTATGGTGCTCTATTCAGTATTCTAAACCACGTAGTATTAGATTCCAAAAAATGAAAGACACAAGTTTATGACCCTTCAGTCTGGAATTTCGAAGTAAACAGTAAGATCTCTTACACTCAACTCTGGCCTGCAGGGGTAAGGAGCTAAAGATTCCTTTCTCACAAACGTGTGTGTGCACGCACGTGCATAAGCAGATATATTTCATTCAAGCCTATCGAGGTCTGCCTCTGCACATGAACTCTGCTGCCGTGGAGGACATATTTGTCTGATTTCAAAGTTAGGTTACCTACAGAGATCCCTTTTTGTGTGTTCACGCAACCTGGGTTTACTCCTCGCAGTGTCTCCTAATATATGTCCTTTCATGTCTGTTTCTTAATTTAAGAAGCTGCTTCTGGGGCACCTGGGTGGCTCAGTCAATTGAGCGTCCCAACCCTTAGTTTTCGACTCGGGTCATGATCTCACAGTTGATGAGTTCGAGCCCCACATTGGGCCCTGTGATGACAGCACGGAGCTTGCTTGGGATTCTTGGTCTCCTTTCTGTGCCGCTCCTCTGCACGTGCTCTCTCTCTTTTGTACAGTTAATGGGCATTCTTGTGGCTTTCCAGGGAGGAAGTGTATAAAACTTGTAAATCCGTATGTATTTCTAGCACTGAATTGTAAATTTGAAGAGGATGCAGGATATCAACAGTGGTGGGATTAGTGAGACTTTTTTTGCTCCGGGAAACACATGTGTCAGCATGAAGGGCACATACTACAGAGTCCTGTTTGAATTGACCGGCTCTATCCCTACGTCTCCTTGTTTCCATGCTTGCCTTAGTACTGAGCTGGGATGTTTGTGTCATTGTGTCTGGCCCTGTGGGTGCCCTCCTCCCATCCCCCCCCCCTTTCTTTTGTGACTCCATTAATGGATGTGTGTTGGCTCTTGGGAAAAGGATGAAGCCAGACCAGCTATTGGGTCTTCCTTCTCCCTCATAAGCTATTGCGAGGTATTTATTTATATATTTAAAAAATTTTTTAATGTTTGTTTATTTTTGAGAGAGAGAGAGAGAGACAGAGTGTGAGCGGGGAGAGGCAGACACAGAATCCGAAGCAGGCTCCAGGCTCTGAGCTGTCATCACAGAGCCCGGCACAGGGCTCGAACTCATAAACTGAGATCATGACCTGAGCCAAAGTCGGATGCTTAACCCACCGAGCAGCCCAGGCGCCCCTATCATGAGGTATTTAAAGAAGACCCAGGTGAAGAGCGTCCATCTTTAGCCTCACACATTCAGGATGTGCACACGTGTGTGTAAGGGGGTGGGCAAGGAACAGAGGCATTCAGAGAAGAAGCCACAGATCAAGTCTGGTCTCTGCGTACATACTGTTTACCTCAGATGTGCAAAGGAAATTTCCAAAACAGTGTCTTGGCTCTTCTGGATTTCCTTCCTTTCCGGGACTGGTTTAAGCATTTTCATTACTACTGAGCAAAGCTCGTTTTAGAGACAAGGTGCCATCCTGGGGCAGGACAGAGCTTTTCTCCATACTACCAGGCGGCTGTCTCAGAGGGTGCGTTATTGAGAGTGAGCCATTTCATCATTTGTGCCGTGGGGGTGGGGTGGGGGTCCTGGTTATCATCACTCTTCTGATTTCTTTTTTTTTTTTTTAATTGTTTTTTTAATGTTTTATTTATTTCTAGGGGAGAGAGAGAGACAGCGTGAGCAGGGGAGGGTCAGAGAGAGAGGGAGTCACAGACTCTGAAACAGGCTCCAGGCTCTGAGCTGGCAGTCAGCACAGAGTCCGACGCGGGGCTCAAACCCACGAACCGCTAGATCATGACCTAAGCAAAAGTTGGACGCTTAACTGACTAAGCCACCCAGGCACCCCACTCTTCTGATTTCTTTACTGAAGTCATAACTTGTTTCCGCAGACGTGCTTAAAAGTCGATTCATTGCTGGGGCGCCTGGGTGGCTCAGTTGGTTAAATGCCCAGCTTCAGCTCAGGTCATGACATTACCGTCCATGAGCTTGAGCCCCACGTCGGGCTCTGCGTTCGGATCCTCTGTCTCCCTCTCTCTCTGTCCCCCTTCTTTTCCTGCACTCTTTGTCTCTGTCTCTCACTAAAAAAATAAATAAGCATTAAAAAAAATTCACCCGTTGCTGTGGTTTACCACATTGAGAAACATACTTCTTGTCATACTAGATTTTGGAAAGAGATCTTCAGGGCTAGGGAACATGAGGGGCAAACAGCTATTATCTCTGGCTTTCCTTTTCTTTTTAAAACTGTGTTTGTCATACATCACAGCCTTTCTTCCTTCGCTTCAGGCTTTCAGGTCCTAAGTGTGCATAGAAAGTAGGGAATGCATCTCTCCTTTTTCCTCCTCTCTGAATCCTACTCCTCTTCCAAGATTCAAGTCAGCTGTATTCAAGGAATTCAAAGAAGCCTTCTGGATCCTTTCTTTTAAAAAAATTTTAAGTTTATTTATTTTGAGAGAGAATGAGCAGGGAAGAGGCAGAGAGAAAATCCCAAGCAGGCTCTGCGTAGTCCGCACAGAGCCCAATGGGGGGCTTGAACTCACAAACTGTGAGATCATGATCGGAGCCTGAACCAAGAGGCAGACCCTTAACTGATTGAGCCACCCAAGTGCGTCTGCTTTCTTTTCCTTTGGTGGACTTAATAGCTTTCATTTCTGCAGCAGAGACCCGGGTGCAATGCATCTGGTCCGGCCGAGCCAGCAGGCAGAAATGGTAGGTTTCAGCTCCTGTTTCTGGCGTCCACTGCTTAGGGACCTGGTTATGCCTCCAAGGGAGGAAGCGATGGGGACAGAGAAGAGAGTGAATGCTATTTCCAGCAGTGAATGAAGTTCATCGAAGTTCATAGTTTCGTTTCACAGCAGTATCGTGAATAAATGAAAAAAAAATCTATAGACCTTTTCATGCCATTAATTCAGATATAGAGAACCCTTCCTTCCTTCCCTTTCGTATAGGTGATCACACAGATGAAACCTACTTGTAATTTATCTAATTTAGAATTAGAAACAGGTCATTGAGAAACTTTAATTAGTGATGCTATACAATTTAAATATATAATGATTAACTGCACTTTATAATTTTTTTTTAATGTTTATTTTCGAGAGAGAGTCAGAGATAAAACATGAATGGGGGAGGGGCGGAGAGAAAGGGAGACACAGAATCCGACGCAGGCATCAGGCTCCAAGCCATCCGCACAGAGCCCGGTGTGGGGTTTGAACTCACAGACAGTAAGATCATGACCTGAGCCGAAGTTGGATGCTCAACCAACTGGGCCACCCAGTTGGCTTTGTTTGTTTGTTTTAGTTTTTTAAATTGATTTTGTACACTTTAATACAGGATTACACAGCTAATGGAGTTGTAAAAAGAAGGTAGAATGGAAGAAAAGAAATCCCAGTATCCATTCTGCTTACTGAACTTCAAAATACTGAGTTTTGATTTTGATCCGCTGTCTTAATAGCTCTTAATCTTAAGACTACCTTTAAGACTTTAGAAAAACGTAGCCTTTATTTTAGTCAGAGTTATAA